AGGTTAAGTAATTAGAATAATTTGGCCTGTCTAACTTTCACCAGTAGGCGCCATCATGACTCTCGAGGGTGAAAAATTCGGGTCGTGATACATAACATTCACGAAATTACATATAAAACAGTAAAAGATATTTATGAATAATTTTATTAACAATAAAAATTATTTCTCAACTTTTAACTATTTTTTTAAAACACTAATAATTTAATTCGGGTAAAAATAACATACAAATTTAATCGCAAACATAACACAAATCAACGTGAAAACACATTCAAGAAAATAAATATGCATAATTATACGAGTTTCGACATAAACTAAATCGGAATACCTCGATTTATGTTTTTGGAAATGTCGGAAATTTAAAATTTTGAGCCCGAAACAAGGAATCCACAACAATCGAAGGCTTGGGTTGTATGCGGGACCTACACTCTTCACTTTTTGTGTGACGGGTGGGGCCCAATTGAATTTTTTTTTAAAAAAAAAAACGAGCGAGGGACCGCTGGAGGGGGGATTTTTTTAATTTGAACCAGTGGGGTTCTGTCGTGGGGAAGAAGATGAACTTTATAATTTAATAGGAAACGCAGTATAATACTACGTTTTCCTAAAACGTAGTATTATACTGCATTTTACATTAAAAAATGAATTATTAATTAAAACGCAGTATTATACTATGTTTTACATTAACAACTAACTTTTCGTTAAACTAAAACGCAGTATAATATTGCGTTTTAGTTAGAAATGTAACTTTTTTTTTAACTGTATAAAGGTATTTTGAGTCCAAAATACCATTATTTAGGTTTCGGACTCCGAGAAATGGAGCAAATGATTAATGGCCTTACTTAATAGTTCTGATGACAATTATAATTAATGATTGACAGAAATGAAAATGCAAAGATCATATTCTTCCCATACTTTATTTCCAAAAATATGACTCCGCACATGTTACTATAACTGGAAAATGAACTTCTTGTATTTTGATCTATCCCTGTCCTGCCACACCTAGCCGTAGCCCCATTCCAACCTTTAAAATATATTTGTTTAATATAATAATATGCCTAGACATCTAACAACAACAACAATAATTACGTCTCCTTCAACATCTTCATCTGATTATTGGAAATCACAACCTGTTGGTTGGCTTAAATGAAATATAAGTGTTGCATTGCTTCAAGAGGAAGGGGTGATGGAGTTTACCGCAATTTTGAGGGATGATCGAGGTTGCTTTATTAAAGGTTTTCTAGGCCATTTTTCTGCTTGTTTGAATGCTCATAATGCTCAAGTTTTCTTCCTTCATTAAGCACTTTTATGGCTCAAAGCCTTAAATATTGATAAGGTGATGATGGTTGAATTTGATTATTAAGAGGTGTGCACCGCTTTTAATTCAAATGTGCCTAATTTCTCTAATTTGGTACCATTATTGGGGATTGTTTGTCTTTAAAGAATTAACTTCTTGATTTATCCTTCCATTAGACAAGGCGGAATGCTAATAAAGCGGCTCGCTCTCTTGCTCGGGTCTTTATTGTCGGCAACTCATGTAACTTGGGATTCTTATCCTTCATGTTTAGTTTCTATTCTTTGTTCTAATGCTTCTCGTTCAGATACCAGGGATATTTCCCTGATGTAATTCTATTTTGACTTGGCTATTTACTAAATATTTATTTCCTTAAAAAATATTCTAACAACAACAATATAATTATGCAACAGTCCCAAATAAATAGGGTCGCCTATATGAATTTTTACTTCGCCATTTAAGCTTAACCAATGTTATCAACATTTGGATCTAATAAAAAGAAAATATATTCTCGTTTGACAAATAAGAAACAATAATTGTTTTAAGTAACAAGATAATTTTTTCCAAGTAAATTTCAATACTCGATTTATGATTTATACAGTAGTTTGTACAATATACAAGTTTTAGTTGCATGATTTTTGTTTCAAATTTTCAGAAAACTGAGATTCAAATTTGCAGCAAAGATTAGATTCTTTGATTCTTGTATTACAAATTTATTTTTTATTAATTTTTAGGTGAAAAGGATGTATGTATGAACAGGAAGAGTTGCCAAAAACTTGTTGTGGCCAAACGCGCACACGCAAGTATACGCGGTCGTCAAGAAATAAAGTGATTAAAAGTCGGAAGTCGAACCCACGAGGACTTGTGATTAACTATTAACTAAATTAAACTATCCTAATTATCTAAACAAGAATTAAACCTAGAAATATTCGATTCTAAAATAATCAAAATAAAGGAAAATAAATGTGAACTTTGAACAAGGGAAAAGCAAATTTTTATTATATCAATGTAATGAAAACGATCTAGGGTCATGGGTTATCTAACATTCCTTTTGTATTCTTCAATTGAATTGACTAACTAATTTATCTAGTTTATTGGTTGACAGAGCTAATATTGCTCATAAGAATCTGTCGAGTTCTTACTTGCATATTCAAGCTAACTTAATGCCTATATATTTATGGAGCTAGAATCAATAAGAACGCATTTATTCCTGTACATCAACCAAGCAAGACAATTAGGTATATTTCTAGCCTAATCGCGAATCCATTCCTCGATGCCCGGATTCAAGAACTTGCTCTATTCAATCCTATATGCAATCTAGAATTCCCACTTTCGAGTTCAATTCAAGATCGTAGATAGTATTCAATTGGTGATCAAGCAATTAAATAATTAAGTGCATGATTAAATAAATAAACCAATATGATAAACTAAGAAATCAAAATCAATATCTGAATAACAATAGTCATGAAGAACCACAACTCTAGAACGTAAAGTTTAGCTCCACATAGACATGGTAACCAAACAACAAATTATACAAAGAAACAAAAATTACTAAGTTTGGTGGAAGAAAGATGGAACTTGATGAATTTCGGCCTCTACGGCGGCTCTATGTTTGTGGTTTCCTCTCAAAAACGTCATCCTTCCTCAAAATAGGTTTAGGTTGGTTTTTATATGAGTTGGGGATGTCTTGGGTCCGAAATAACCGAGTCCCGATCGAAATAGGACATGTTCACGTTTTAAGCGTCCAGGGCAGCATGAGGCGCTGGCCCTGGCACTCAACTTTTTAGCATTTTGTTTTGAGCGCCACAGGTAGTGCCTCACGCTGCATGTGGCCCTTAAATGTGCATTTTTGCCTTTTCTTCCCATTTTCGCTCCAATTCACATGTTTTCGTCCCAAATCGCATCCGAATGATTCCTACAAATAAAAATACCACAAATTAGCATAAATCATTATATTATATATACATCCGAAATCTACGAGACATAAGCACAATGTGAGGCAATATATATATAAAAATATGCATATTTTAAGCCAAACATCAATAAGTGTCAACTGTAAAATGTAAGACTTCATCTTCGGATAAGAAAATAATTAAATCTTCTCTTTGATCATCTACTCCTTTCTTTATGAGCTCATTTAGTGCAGTGAGCAGATAGCCAGATACTATGTATAGTTCGATTCAATTCTTTCCATGCATAGGGATCGGACACAATAGATACTTCATAGTGAGCTAATTATACTCACTTTATTCCCATTTAATTATCATGTATACTAAAATAATTGTTCTCAAATACTTATCATTTTATCAATTAACTATCTTTTGTCCAAATTTACTCTTAACATTAATTATTTTAGAATAAAGAAGCATGTAAATAGACAAAGATCAAAGAATTAATAAAGGATAGATTAGTCAAATTACTTTTCTTATTAATATTTTCTTAATGAGCATGTAAAACCTTATCCGGACAACTAAATATAAACAAAGGGAGTACCTTACTCAACCATCAGACCCTTTAGATATTCTTCTTGAGAAATGATCCGATCTGACCCATTCCTCGAATAAAGTTTTTACGGGATCCGTATCTACCAAATAATTCATCATAAATATTTCCATTAAGTTTAAGAATTTCACTAAAGTGAAACACTTTAACACTCTTGCAGGGCGAACACTTAGAGCGTGGAGAACGTGGCATGGAGCTGAACCAAAGATAACGATAGATCTGGCTTTGATATCATAAAGAGAAAACGAATCTTGAACCTAAATTAACATCGAAAGTTAACTCATGAACAAAGAAATAATTCCAGTAATTTCCTCAACGAATGTGAGTCACTCTAATGCCGGACATTTACTCATGAGCAGGGGTGGATTTAAGTCATTTTTACTATGCACGTGAACTCATGTTCTTTTTGCCAAATTAGATAATTCATGTATATATTTTGTAAATATAATATTATCTGTTGGTTTCTATGCTCCAAAAAGGTTTAATTGTGCTCTTAGTTGAATACTGAGTTATTTATTCGAAGGAACATGGAACGATTCTCATTTGATACTTCTTTTTTCTCACTTTTTTAGCAGTTTTGTTGATGGATCCGGTCTTGTCGAACAGGTCCGAATTCGAGGTTCGAACACAAAAGCCCACTAGCCGAGGTGAACTGGTTGCTTTTGATGTCCCACGATTCTGCTAGGTTTAGAAATAAAGGAGAAGGACAGGGGTCGCTAGGTCAGAAAAACGATAACTAAAAAATCTCCCCACGTAGAATTCACATTCTAAAAATCCTAAATCCGCTTCTTCTCACGTGTGGTTTTAGGAAAACTAATAATATGAACAAAGTGCATTCCAAGCTATAGGACGTTTACATAGTTTCGCATTCTAGATAGAGTATTAATGTAATTTGTCCTATTTTCTATTAAATACATTATACACGATATCACACATATATGCATTATAAAAAACTATGGGCAAATGAGAATATTAATAAGTGAATAGGTATGGACTCATCACATGAAGCCAACTGTTCTGTCTAAAAAAGTCAATAACAGCTAACAGCCAATCAATAAGTCAATTAATTGCCAATAATTGCGCAAAAATAACTGCCATGAGCCACCCAATCTCTCTGATGAGCTAATATCCAACAAAAACATTGAATATCATAAAAAATAGAAGAATGAGACAACTTGAAAATAATTCCTTTTTTGTTTTTTTCTCAAAGTGCTTAATAAAACTTCTCAGATAATGAGAGAATAGAAGAAGAGAAACAGAAAGAGGGTTTGCAAAGCAATCTCTCTTCTTTGGATCTCTCAAAATCATATCAATTTTTTATATTTAATTAGTACAATCTGACCCCTCAAAAAGAAAGAAAAAATAGTTTAGAAAGTACCTTTTTCTTCTATATTCAGCATTGCCTTCATTATAATTTTCCATATACTTCATTCCTCCTCTTATCTTTCTTGAAGAATTTTCTCTACATTTTCTTGAGATATTAATCATGAGCAGATTTCGTGTAAATTCGTCTCCTGATTTAGTTGCTAATTTACCATCAGAACAATTCTATGATGATTCAGCTTTAGAAGGTAATGATTGTTCCTTTTTTTTTCTTGCTCATGTTTGGTTTCTTGTGTTGTTCTTGACCTTTCAAAAGTATTTATGGGTGATCATAAGATTCAATGACCCCTCAATGATAAAGTTGTTTCCGTGTGATCCATAGGCCTCGGTTTTGAGCCATGGAAGCAGCCACTAATACTTGCATTAGAGTAGGTTGTCTATATCACACCCCTTGGGGTGTGGTCCTCTCTGGACCTACGTGAATGCGGAATGCTTTCTGCACCAGCCTGCCCTTTTGCCATAAGATTCAATGAAGAGGAAGTATGATTTTTTTATAAACAGTGTTAGGACCTCTATCTTGAATTTTATGTTTTGTGCACCAGGCTACAACAATTTCTTTTTATTTATACAAATTTTTTGCACTCAACTATTGCAGCATTGTATTTATTGATCAAAGTTTTGTGAGATAGTCGTGTTTTTTATTTAATTTTTTTGGATTTTATGTATTTTTAGGGGTTGCAGCCAACATTAAGTTATTGCTAAAGTTGACTCAAGAGCACAAAAATGCTTGTAACAAAGAGAAGAACGATGGCCGGAGAATGTTGAGGGTGGCAACCATGATGGCCATTCTTGATAATGTTAGGACAAGAATTCAAAAATGTCAATCATTTGGTAACAAGTCATCATCAGAAGCTGAATTAAGTCGATGTAATTCAGAGCTTAAGGTTACTAGTCATGTTCCAATAGACAAGAAGCACCACGAGCCGATGATTGATGAGAAAGAAAAACTACGGAAGCAGCTAAACGCGAGCTTGGTAGCACGAAAGAGCCTCGAGGCCATGTGTTCAAGCTTAGGGAAAGAAAAAGAGATTATGGCATCAGAGCTATCGAAAAAGGTCCACGAGTTGAATGAAATGGAGGACCTCATCAATGATCTAAAAGAACAAAATGAGAGTTTAGTGGAAAGGTTACACGGATGTGCCACCGAGCAAAAAGAAAGGAGGTATAGCAGCGGTGGAGAAACACAAGGAAACATTGCCCTCCAAGAGAGAAATAAGGCACTTTCAGAGCAACTACTAAAGTCATTGGATGGTTATAGATCCATTAAGAGGAAATGGAAGGATGCACAAGCAGAAAACATGGCGATGCATGCAACCATGGAGGAAATGACAGCAAAAGTTGGAGCTGGACTTGCCCGAATCCACAGCTTTAAAGAACGAATTGCCTCAGAAAGTGTGCCCTCGACGGATATCCAAGAGGAAATTGTTGAATTAGAGCATATGTTTGAATGCTTTGAAATGCAAGTTGCAAAACATGGTCAAAAGGAAGGGGAATGTGTCAAACCAAAAGCAGAGATTAGTTCTTGCAAGCCTATAGTTCTTGCATAGAAGATATGCTAACTTAGAAACAAGCCGAACACAAAGGAGAAAAGATGGACTTCAACTTAGTCAGGTTATCTTTAACATGGTCCACAATCATGGCGTTCCACAAATGTACTGAAATGGGGAAAAGATAGCACATTCTTCTCTGCTATGGAGTTAACGTAATGAGTCAAGTATATGGTATGTAATAGGAAAATAACTATGTGATGTTGCTTTTTTTCATGTGTAATTTACAGGTGTAACCTATTCTGTCTTTCAGTTTTATATTAGTGCTAATGACATCAATAATCCGACCTCATTGTCATAACTTGCATTATAACTCATCTTACAAGACCTTGAAGTGCTATTATGGAATTATAATGGAGAGGAGTCTACTTTTTAAAGGAGTAGGGGGTCAGGGAGTCAGCATGATAGATTCTGGAATTTTATGTTCCTCTTATCCTCAGATTTGAACACACCTTTCAAACTATAGAATGTGCAAAGTAAACTGAAATTTAATTGAATCTTTTAACTTATTCATCAAGATATTTTGGGTACTAGTAACTGAATGATGAGATAAACTTTACAGACTGTTGCTTTATAAAACTAGAGACAAAAAGGGTAAGGCTTGCATGCGGTGCTGAATGATGTGAAAAACTTAGTTAGAAATGTTAACACTATTCCAGATCCAGCAACTTGGAGCCAGCAATGCAGTTAAGAATCCAAGTGCTGCTGGCCGCTACAGCTCCGGTGGAACTAGCCAAAGCTTCTGCATCCGATCGTTTTTTTTCTATTACTTCAGACTTATCAAGTTGCTCGCGACTATAAATTACAAAAGGTGGAAGGCATCCAGGTGAAAGAATTTCCTGATTCACTGCTACAGGCTTCCTGTTGAGGACAATTCCTCCAGCAGCAATAACAAGGTCATGTAGATAGCTCTTGTAGGAAGGTGAAAAGTCACCCATAAAAAAGAACTTGTATCCATTGAAAAGCTTTGGTTGCTGCAAAACAGGAATTTTGGCATTTAAAGAATACATAAGAGGATTTTAATGCAAATGATGAAATGTCCATCCTAAAGATTATCTTAGTTAAAGCAGGAAATTTGTAAATACAGCCAGCAGAAGATGAAAATGCAGCGAGACCTATAAGCAACCAGTAGAACAGAGGGAAGTGAAGGTTGAGATTTAAGTTCATCCTTCTTGAATCTAAACTGATATCCTTGCTGTCCAGATATTGAGGGGGGATAAGGAATTAAACTGACATTCTTAACTCTACAAACATTCTAGTTGAAGTTCCATTCTCTTTCTGGAACGGGAATGCATAGAACCTAAAAGAGTGATTTATCCACCTAAGGAATTAAACATTTCTCTTAACTGCCATTACACCCAGGACCTGAAATGCGCTTGATTAGTTTGTTATTAATGATAAATCCGGAGAAAGGTGTACCTTGTTTAAAATCCTCGATCTTCCAAGCTTAGGGCCATCCACGATGCCATGAGCATCCGTTTTAATCTCATATTGCTGCTCATCGACAAATTCTGTGGCTTCCAAGCAAGCAATAATCCCTGCAAGCATAAAAACCAAATATCAAGATGGACCAAACAGAAGCTAAACTCTGGCTGTAGAGAAAACACATTTGTAACACAACATATTCATTTGCAGTTACGAAAAGAAAAGGTTACTGACAGTCAATGCTCAATATCCATTTCCCAGCCAAGACACCCATCAAGTATTTGAGAGTTCTTCGGCATGTCCCTTTCTCATCTGTAGAAGCAATAACATGGGTGACACTTAGGTCCCAGTTCTTGACTACTGTCACTCCAGACAACCTCTTTAATGAAGAAACAAGCTCCTGCAAGGAGAAAATTTAAGTTATCCAGTTAATGAACCTCACTTATCTCAAAAAATATCATCTGCAAATATTATTCTGTTTACTCACTTTTTCATCAGCAGTTAGAGCTGAACTACAGAGCACCAAGCTCTTATTCTTCTTCTGAGACTTCCACTGCGAAGTAGCAGCATTATCAGGTGTTGCCGAGACTTTAGGCTGGTGGATATTAGAACTTCTGCAGATTAAAGACAATGAGAAGGGGACTTAGAACTTTGAGCCAAAATCTAAATTTTTTAGCTAACAATTCTAAGAATCTGTTGATCCAACCTTTTGATACTTTCTTTAATCCGGGACTGTTTTCGAGGGACCTCGCATGGCAGCTTAGAGTTGGCATGCAAAGGGCATAACATAACAAAGTTATCCTGAAACAATGAAAATAGAGTAAGTGATGCTGCTTTTTTAATAAAATATAGGTCTGAGGAAACGAATTTAAGACGTACATAATCCCATCGACACTCTGGTGTCAACTTGGCACAAGGAACATGAAAGCTTTTGCGACAACTCGTCTCATAACACCCAAGAGCTGCCCCCTTTACTCCACAGAAAAAACAAGTAATCCTCCGGCTCCTCTTCAGCTCAGCATCAAGGTTGACCGCATAATCTTCTTCAAAATATACATTAGGGGCCCTGTAGATGTGCATTTCTGTTTTTTACACTAGAAACGATTTGACTTGAAACAGATTCAACGAGTCTAGAATGATTTATGCACAAATGAATAAAAGTTTTGATGATGACAAATTGCTATACATTGAACAATGAACACAATAGATGTAGACAAGAAATATACACTTCTGTTTTATCTTAAATAAGAAAAATACACTTTCTTAACCTTGACATTTGTGACACTGATGATGAAATTATTTAGAAAACCAAGAATTTTCTGATGCATTAGAGATTATTTATGACTTACTATACCACTTTTATATGAAGGATTTATAAAGAGAGGATTATTACCATTCTGCACAATGCTTATGCACATGTATAACACCAGATACTCCATTGACATCTTCTTTAACAGGCTTTCCATTAAGGTAGCTTATCATGACTCCTGAAATCTGAAAATTGGTTATGAAAAATGGAAGTATATAATCAATATACAAAGTCAAGAGGCAAACAGCTCCAAGAATAAATAGGAGGAACCAGAAAAGAAAAACACAATCAATGACTTATACCTCAGATTCCTCTGCTGAACGGCAGAAAGCACACTGGATCTTGTTGTGGCTTGCCTCACACTTCCGCAAAACCAATCCATTCACGTCCAAAACAGATTTCTCTGTTTCCAATGATTTATGCACTCTCTTCTGAATCTTTTCAAGTGTAATATTTTCCTTGCCAGCAAGCTGCTCATCTTCAGAAAACTTCACTTTTTTCTTACCATGAAGCTTGCCATCACACTCAAGCTCACATTTCTTGATTTGTGTACCAGAAGGAGTAGCTTCCCCATCATTATCCATGGGAAGCAATCTATTTGCTGCCAAATGCAAAGCTTCATCTTGGGTTTGTGTAATGTTATCTTTAGCAGTTCTCTGTCTGTGCTTTGGTCTAAAACGAATTTTATTTTGTTCACCAATAGATCTCTGGTCCTGTTTATGACATGCCTTCAAGTCAAGTGTCTCAATGCTTCCTTCACTGTGTTTTTTCTGATCCCCAAGAGTAGACATATCGAAGGACTTGGGCTGACTGCTCTTGCGAAGTCTTTTAGCACAACATGAAGTGGAACTGTCTTCTATTGCTGACCCTGTGACATTTGTAGCAGAACTACCCTTTTTCTTGTTTTTCAAATCTTTGTTCTTTGAGTTAAGTACATAGGCATCTTCCTGATTGTTCTTCATTGTTTGTTCAGCTGCTTTTTGTAAGTTATTATGAAATTCTGATACTTCACCAATTATTTTCTTGCCTTGTTTCTTCTTAGTGCATCTAAGTGCCTTACTCTGGCTAGACTTGCAAACAACACCTTTGGTCCCAGTGATTTCATTTTCAAGAGGAAATAAAGAGTGTGACTTCAGTTGTTCTTTATCACTACCCTCTACATTTACCACAACTGTGCTGTCCTGAGTTGCTGATTCCACACTATGCCTTTTTAGTGAGGGCGCTCGAGTCTTCTCTTGAGCTGCAGCACACTCAGTATCTTTAATCTAAACCAGCAAAAGAGAAATAAATTAGAAACTAAACAAGTTTAGAGATTGAGAAAGAGGAAAACATTTCTGACTCCCTTGGCAATAATGTACTGCAAAGAAATACCTTCGTCTTGTAGGGGCTCGAACAAAGTTCGGGAGAGCAAGCTCTTTGTGTCCAGTCGAACATCTCACTGTCAAAAAGATCTGCTCCATTTGCTGCATTATGAGTTCCACTCTGTATAGCAAGAAAGTGGGAAAACCAATGAAACTTCTTCAATAAAATACACAGAAAGTGTGAACATGAACAAGATCATCATTAAGCTCAACTCTGGATCACAAAACACAAAAGCTAAGTTGAAGGGTAAGAAAGGAGGATATCCAAAAACTTGAGGTTTCTATATACATTTTTATGTACTGTGAGGAAGCTGAAAAAACAAATACCAAATGATTAAAAAAAAAGTAGACTGGGAAGCATTCCTCTCCTAATCTAGCGGGAAACAAAAAAGATCAAATAAGCAATACTAGAGAAGGATTCAGTAAATCAGAGTGTAATGTTAAAGCTTATCTGGCATACAGATCAGACCAAACAATCCAATCTTATCAATTTTCTATTTAAGAGTACACTTTATTCTGGAGCGGAAGCAGTTGTTTCTTAGTATAAATTGGATATCATGTTACTTACTTTTGGAGACAGTTCACAGTGGACCTCATCATCCATGTCCTTTATATCACTGAAGCATGGAATAACTGGAGGTGTATCCCTGATAATGTCTCCATCTGTTTGCTGACTTGACCTTTCTACATCCTCCTCTTCTCTCAGCCAGAAGAATGGAGATAGTACTGGTTCTCCTTTTTCATTTAGCATAGACCTGTCTTTCTCAATCACCAAAGGTTTCTGAGCTTCGTTGGTGATGGATTTACCATTTCCACCAGCCAACTTTGAGGGTGGCGGAGTCTCTAGAGGTGGATATTGTGGCACCTGCACTCTCTTTTTGGTCGGAAAAGAAGGTCTAATAAGATTTGATCCGGTATTCTTTTTGTTGCACTCTGAAGATTTTTTTGATCCTTTCCCTCTTTTTCTTTTCTGATTATCTGTGGCTGGAGCCTCAGTTACAGTTTTACCTTCATCTGGGAGTCCACAAGTTTGTTTGCCATTAGATTGGTTGTCTTCACCTGCATATGAGATAAAGATGCTCAAATCAAAATTATTTACTGAAATGATAATAACTACTTCTAAATTGGCTGAATCAAAGTAAATTCTTCAGAACCATAATACGAATCAAAATATATTATTTGGATTATGTTC